TTCTTTTTTTTTTTTTTTTTTTTGGGGATGGGGTTTCACTCTGTCACCCAGGCTGGAGTGCAGTGGTATGATCTTGGCTTACTGCAACTTCCACCTCCTGGGTTCAAATGATTCTTCTGCCTCAGCCTCCCGAATAGCTGGGACTGCAGGCACATGCTGCCATGCCTGGCTAATTTTTTGTATTTTAGTAGAAATGAGTTTCACTACGTTTCCAGGCTGGTCTCAAACTCCTGAAGTCAGGCAATCTGCTCATCTTGGCCTCCCAAAGTGTTAGGATTATAGGCGCAAGCCACTGCGCCCAGCCAACATTTCTTTTTGAGATATTAAAATGTTCCAAGATTGACTGTGGTAATGGTTGCACTTAGGCTGTGACTATACTAAAAACCATAGAACTGTACACTTTAAAAGGGTGAATTGCATGATATGTTAATTATATCTCAATAAAGCCATATATAAATAAAACTATAAATTGAAAATATAGGTCATCATGTCTAGGTTATAATGAAGGTGACCTTTCTAAAAATATGATACAAATTTTGGAAACCATGTAAGAAATATTTCATATGAAACATATCCTTTTATGTTCAAATTTTCTCTTTTATTTAAAACACATATTACGGTTTTGTCTTTTCTAATTTACTAATCTCTGTCTTTTTCTTTTCTTTTTTTTTTTTTTTTTGTTTTTTGAGACAGAGTCTCACTCTGTTGCCAGGCTGGAGTGCAGTGGTGCAATCTCAGCTCACTGCAACCTCCGCCTCCCAGGTTCAAGAGATTCTCCTGCCTTAGCCTCCCAAGTAGCTGAGATTACATGTTCTCGCTACCAGGCCTAGCTAATTTGTGTTTTTTGTTTGTTTGTTTGTTTATAGTAGAGATGGGGTTTCCTCATGTTGGCCAAGATGGTCTGGATCTATTGACCTCATGATCCGTCCACTTCGGCCTCCCAAAGTACTAGGATTACAGGCATGAGCCATACCACGCCCAGTCTGTCTTTGTCTTTTAATTGGAGAACTTAATCCTTTAAAATATAATGTAATTACAGAAAATTTGGGCTTAAAAAGCAAAATAGGCTATTAGAAGATAATAGCAGAATTGGTTGGGTACAGTGGCTCATGCTTGTAATCCCAGAGCTTTAGGTGGCCAAAGTGGAAGGATTAGTTGAGGCCAGAAGTTTGAGACCAGCCTGGGCAACATAGCAAGACCCCCATCTCTATGGAAAATTTTAAAATTAGCCAGACATGGTGGTACATGCCTGTAGTCCCAGCTATTCAGGAGGCTGAGGCAAGAGGATCACTTGAGCCCAGGAATTTGAGGCTGCAATGAGCTATGATTGTGCTATTGCACAGCCTTGGGGACTTGTCTCTAAATAAATAGATACATTTTTTAAAAAGAAGATAATATCAGAAAATATAATCTTGAGCTAGGAAATGGTTTCCTTTTCTTTTGAGATGGAGTTTTGCTCTTTCACTCAGGCTGGAGTGCAGTGGTGTGATTTTGGCTCACTTCAAACTCTACCTTCCAGTTTCAAGAGATTCTCCTGCTTCAGCCTCCTAAGTAGCTGAAATTACAGGCACCTGCCACCAGGCCTGGCTAATTTTTGTATTTACAGTAGAGACAGGGTTTCACCATGGCCAGGCTGGTCTCGAACTCCTGACCTCGTGATCCGCCTGCCTCAGCCACCCAAAGTGCTGGGATTACAGGTGTGAGCCACCACACCCGGCAGGAAATGGTTTCTTAAACAAGATACAGAAAGCACTAAGCATAAAGATCAATGTGACTATGTTTCAGCCTACAAAATCTTTAATAATTACAAATATTTACTATTTATTGTGTATATAAAATTAAGAACTTTACATACCTCATACCATTTAATCTTCACAAGAACCTATGACGAGTCAATACTATTATTTTCCCTGTTTTACAGATGATGCTTAAGGAGGTTAAGTATTTCACCTAAAGTCACATAGCAACTATGCCAGGGCTGAAATTTGGGTCTATCTGATTCCAAGCCCAAACTCATAATCACTATCCTAGAGGCCATGCCAGTTTTAGGGGGAAAGTTCTCCAACTCTTTAGTCTCTAAACCAGCACCTTCTCCTCCTTTTTTACCATTATTCTTTTAACCAGCATCTTACATTCAATGTTTCTATTTTTTCATCATCTATTTGCCATCCCTTCTGCCATACCCTTTTGGAGAATTCCCAGTCTGGGTTATTACTCACTCCCGATCTCCTTGCAACCTAGTTCAAGCTCCAATAATAATGACATTCTAATCAGATAAGGAAATGTAGGAAATTCTAATGAAAATGGCCTTTTCTCAGTCTTCATTTCTATTGACCTCTTTTGTACCTCCTCCTCCTTCTTTAAATGTCACTCTCCTTAATTTGTCAGTCATTCAACAAATACATAGTTGGCAACAATTTTGGGCAAGCTTTGTGCCCAGTCCTGGGATACAAATGTCAAAAGACACAGTCCCAACCATCAGTGAGCTTGTTTAGACTGAAGATAATTAGGCAACTAACAAATAATAAGCAGAATGGAGACATTTTGTATGTGTGTATTGCAGTACATTTTAGTGGTTAAGTCTATGTTAGAGTGAGACAGACAAAAGTTTGAGATCTGAATTTGCCACTTATGTTAGCTGTGTAAGCCTGAACAAGTTACTCAAAGTACTTTAAGAATTAAGTAAATCATCACAAATTATTTCCTGTTTACTTTAGAAAAGCAAGATGTTAATGGTGTTTGTGAGAGACTAAACAATGTAATACAGAGCCCATTATACAAGTTGGTAGAAAAATGCCTGATTTTAAATAGTTTAATGAAAGTATAACAATTAAACGCAAACTATGTCTTATTGCTACCAAAAAAAGGTTCTTCAGGTACATTTGACATAGCCTTCTACTGCTGGAGTACATTATAAAATCAATATATAAACTACACTGACACAATTTCAAAGGAAAAAGCATGCCTTTTGGGGTTAGAAGTACACTCTGGTGTTCTGACTTGGATAATTCTAGGTGTATACTATAGATAAGATATTGGGTAACCATACTAGACTATGGAAAAGATACATACAGACAAAATGTAAACATTTAATAAATTGGAGCATACACCAAAATTGGTAAATTTCCCCAAGACTAGGTAGAAAGGCAAGATTGTATTTTGTTTATTTGTTCTTACTAATAGGTGAAAACTCTAAAGATACCAAATTGCAAATCCAGTCTGCTGATGCTGGAAACAAGGCAATTAGGCAGACTCAGGGGGCTCTTTAGTTGAAATGACTATTATCCCAAGAATGTATTTTATTTAATATGTAAGTATATGCTATATGCTCAAGCATAGACTAAGCAATTTAATTTGAAGGGCAAGGGTAGGATTTTTAAAGTTTGACAGATGAAGAAATTTTACATTTAAATTTTGGTAGCTTCTGCAATCAACTAAAGTAATAACCATGGAGGTAATTTCCAAGTGTGGCTTCCTCATAGGGTTAACCTAAAATTATCTATTTATATTCATATATCTGTATATAGACATAGAGTAGAACATATTTTCTACTCTATATCTGTGTATCTATCTATATCTATATACTGTATAAGTATATGTGTGTATGTGTATATGCATATATGTTAAATAAAACTGTTAGTAAAATTACATGTTATTTAAAACATGTTAAATGAAATAAAAGGAGGTAATAATCTACGGCCTCCTGTGTTTCTCGGTTTCTTATAAAATGAGAACTACAGTAGCCTCTAACCATGAGCTTGTCAGGGAAATTAAACAATGGATTTAAAGTGTTCTGCATGGTGCCTACAAGTTAGCCAATTTCTAAGTATTTCTAAAATGTCTACCATTTTTGTCTCTTGGAGTAACCTTAAAAAAGAAATTGAAGGCTGGGCATGGTGGCTCATGCCTGTAATTTAAGCACTTTGGAGGCCAAGATGGGTGGATCACCTGAGGTCAGGAGTTCAAGACCAGCCTGACCAACAAGGTGAAACCCCGTCTTAAAAAAAAAAAAAAAGAAATTGAAGTGTACCAAGCAGAGAAAGAAGGAAGTCATTCCAGGAGTGAGAATGCTGTACACAAAGCTAGGGGGTAAGAGAGTATGGCATGTGGAACAAATTCAGTGGCTGGACGGGAGATAAGACTGACTAAAGGCAGGAACACTATTTAAAGGGCCAAAATAAGAGGCGAGAAACTCCTGGATTAAAATAGTAGCCAAGGAGAAGAAGGGATAGATAAAAGAGATATCTAGGATGTATAGCTGATAGGAACTGAGGGATGATTTCATGCAGATGAAGGAGAAGAAAGCAACAGATACGCATGGTTTCCGATGTGGTTTACTGGATGTATGTTGGTGACATTCGATTACAGAGCCACACACATATTTTAGAGGAAGAAGCTGAAGCATTTTTGTTTGTTTGTTTGTTTTGAGACACAGCCTCGCTCTGTACTTAGGCTGGAGCGCAGTGGCTCAATTTCAGCTCACTGAAACCTCCGCCTGCCCTGCAACACCCCAACAGCTGAGATTACAGGCATGTGCCACCACACCAGGCTAATTTTTTGTATTTTTAGTAGAGATGGGGCCATGTGGGCTAGGCTGGTGTCAAACTCCTGGCCTCAGGTGATCTGCCCACCTCAGCCTCCCAGAGTGCTGGGATTACAGGCATGAGCCACAGTGCCTGGCCAGAAGCATTTGGGCTTTTTTTTTTTTCCTTTAAGCCCTGGAAAATTAAAGCAACTAACAGAAGCATTTGGTTTTAAACACAATGTAAGGCATCTCAGTAAAATCATCTATAATATAATAGACATAACACAAAGAATTCAGAAGTCAACATTCTTTTTAGAATACGTAATAAACATATGATTAGGTTCTTATAGAATCACACTGGCAATGACAAAGGGATATTAATCAAGAGTTACAGATAACAGAGTTTCATGAATAACTTGGAAAGTATAAAGTAATTCAAATTGGAATGAAGTACATTAAAAACACAGTTCAATACCTCAGCTGCTTTGCCGTTGTAAAGGCGAAAATGATTACAGGCTTTAAGATTGAGTGCGATGGTACTATCAGGAATTTGCTGAAGGTAAACAGCCAAAACTTCTTGAGACACATCATAGTAATCCAATTTATAGTAGCAGAGGGCCACATAAACATTGAGGGCAAGGTATTCCCTATTAGATGAAAGAATTAAGGGTTAACCATGTAAGTCTACTTTATAGAAATGTCAAACTACAAAGCTAAAATGGACAAGGCAAAGAAGACAGTTCATGAATTTGCCATATGAAGAAAGAAGGCAAGATATAATCAGTATATATATATATTTTGCATTGCAATATTTGGGTGGGTATTTGTTTTTTGTTTGTCTGTTTTTTGAGATGGAGTCTTGCTCTGTCACCCAGGCTGGAGTGCAGTGGCACAATCTCGGCTTACTGCAACCTCCACCTCCCAGGTTCAAGCAATTCTCCTGCCTCAGCCTCCCAAGTAGCTGGGACTACAGGTGTGCACCACCACGCCTGGCTAATTTTTGTATTTTTAGTAGAGATGGGCTTTCACCATATTGGCCAGGCTGGTCTCGAACTCCTGGCCTTGTGATCAGCCCACCTTGGCCTCCCAAAGTGCTGGGATTACAAGTATGAGCCACCACGCCCAGCTGGTGAAAGTAGAGTGAAAGATGACAACTAGAGAAGAAAGGGAACATTCATGCTGTTCATACTGTAAAATTAACATATGCTATAATTGAACATAAACACAAGCACACGCCACACATTAGACCAACACAAGACACACAGGCTCAATGGCTGGAAATGGAAGCAGGTAGGTGACTAAGAAGGTAACAGCAAAAGAGGAAAGAAGGAAGGAAGCTGAGATATTTTTGGGAAGGGAGAGAGAGAGGCCAAGTGTTTAGTGATAAAGTTGGAATGTAAATTCTTTTTTTTTCTTTTATTTATTTATTTAAAGACGGGGTTTTACCATGTTGACTAGGATGGTCTCAATCTCCTGACCTCGTGATCCGCCCTCCTCTACCTCCCAAAGTGCTGGGATTACAGGCGTGAACCACCTCACCTGGCTGGAATGTAAATTCTTCAGAATGGTTTGTATCTAATTTTGTCAGCAAGTTACCTACAATGTAACTATAATGCTAAGTTTGATACATCTAGACCATACATTTCAATAGGAGTAATATCACTTCCAAAGGGGAAAAATTGGTTCTCATGGGAGGATGAAAAAATCCTACTCATTTTATGTGTAAAGCACAGTTATATATATAGCACATAAATGGATGTATGTTAATATACATATATCAGTATACTAAACTTTCATGGGAGGGCAATTAGGGGGAAAAAGTCTTTTAGAAGAGTGACAATGGATAAAAAGATAAGAGAAAGCCTGATTTAGACAATACCTAATTCTTAATCTCACCAGATAATCAACTAAACAGATTTGAATGCATGGTGGTACTACATCCAAAGGTCACTAGATTCTCAGTCAAACTTGTAACAAAAGAAACGAACAAAATGAAAGAAATGTAGAGTAGGCATAAAAGGACACAGACCTGTTATCTAGCAGTATTCGCTTATATATATCAATAGCTTCTTGGTAGTGAGATCGCATATAGTGGATTGAGGCCAAACTGAGTTGATCTTCTGTGACATCCTGAAGATTCTGATGAAAGCTCATCAACTTTTTCTCATCATTAAACTAAAATTGTGAGAGTGGAAAAGACATGTAAAGATTCACATTAGTGTTGTTAGAGAAATCAACATCTATGTGATAGAGTTTTTAACTCTTTCTTCTTTAGCCATTGTGTCTCTTTCTTCTTCCTATTTCCCTTAGGTTCCTTGCCTTCTACTTCACTTCCCCTGCAAAGAAAGAATGCAAATAGCTTCTGGAGGCATAGCTTGACAATGACAATGGAAAGCCCTTAGGTTACAGTTAATATTATTCCATCCTCTCCTTATCTTTTCTTTTTCTTTATATTTTCTCCCTTTCCTTTTTTTTTTCTTTTTAGCCTCTTTACTCTTACCTGGTAACATTTTTAACCTGTTCTTTCGTATCTCGTTCTTCTTGGTAGTCAATGAGGAGTCAAAATGTATTTCTCATCATGTAACTTAGTGAATTCAATTTTTAATTTCCTACTCTACATTTTTTCATTCTTTCTTCAGTTACTATACATTGTTGTTGTTTGAGATTGTCAGAATTCTATTGCAACCTTGTAATGCTTATTTTGTTAGATGGCTACTGCAAATATTAGTTGCCTTTTGCTTACATATGGGGCAGAACAGATATATTTTTGACAGTGATCCTTAATATGCAGATTGCTCACTCCCGCCTGATAGAGAATGACTTATAAGTTTAAAAATTTTGTACAGAATTGTCTTCTGTAGACTATTTAGTTACATGGAAAAATGTTCATGATACACTTTTAAGTAAAACGCCTGGTTACAAAATAGAATATATACTATGATCCAAATTTAGCAATATAAATACACACATATATATATACATACATAAAAATACAAATTTTTTAAAGACTGGAAGAAAGAGTAAAATATTACAGTGTTAGCTGGAAGTGGCAGTCTTACAGGAAATCTTGATTTTTGTGTGTATGTAATTTGCTATTTTCTAAATGTACTATGATGAACATGTATAATTTTTGTAATCAGAAGAAAAACACAGGCCAGGTGTGGTAGCACACGCTTGTAATCCCCATACTTTGGTTGGCCAAGGTGGGCAGATTACCTGAGGTCAGGAGTTCCAGACCAGCCTGGACAACATGGTGAAACCCCATCTCTACTAAAAATACAAAAATTCGCCAGCCATGGTGGCACACGCCTGTAATCCCAGCTACTTGGGAGACTGAGGCAGGAGAACTGCTTGAACCCAGGAGACAGAGGTTGCAGTGAGCCGAGATTGTGCCACTGCACTCCAGCCTGGCAACTCTGTCTCAAAAAAAAAAAGAAAAAGGAAAACACAACAAAATATATTTCTTTAAATTCAATCAAAGACTTTCACTACTACTAATATTAGAGTAGCTTATAGTATACAGCGCTCCCATCAAGAACATATAGAAAATCTTAAAAACTACTGAAAAATCTGTGTCAAAGGGGCTGGGACAGGCTCACTCCTGCAATCTCAGCACTTTGGGAGGTGGAGGTGGGTAGGTCACTTGAGCTCAGGAGTTTGAGACTAGCCTGGGCAACACGGTGAAACCCTATCTCTACAAAAATCAGCTGGGCACGGTGGCATACACTTGTAATCTCAGCGATTTGGGAGGCTGAGGCACAAGGATTGCTTGAGCCTGGGAGGCAGGGGTTACAGTGAGCTGAGATGGCGCCAATGCACTCCAGCCTGGGTGACTGGAAGTGAAATCCTGTCTCAAAAAAACAAAACAAAAAAAATCTGTGTGGGGGGATCAGAGAGCTATCAAGTGAGTGAAAACTTGAGAGATACCAAGGTCCCCAGCAAGAAGTGCAAAGAGGTGATTCCGATATTTAGCACCACCTTCTCTTAAATGGTACCTACCAATTCTCAATTGGTGGCTGAGTTGCTGAAAACTAAGTAGAGCTTCAAGAAGTCTTATGGGCTTAATGGACCAAAAAATAGAGATTGGGGCCCACCAAGCTATCAGTTGGGACCCCTGGAAAGCTATCCTAGAAATAGAGGTAAAATGGAAATACACCAGCTTTAAATCGTTGCAATCTCTGACAGGTATCAGTTCATTTGCCCCTATTCTATGTACCTCCCAGAAGTAAAAGTAAATTCTAAATCCTTCCTGGAAGAAGACAAAATCATCAAGAGCTTCAAATTATCTCCATTACTTAATAGCCAGCATTAAACACAATATTACCAAGCAAACCAGGGGTCAAGAACATTTGACTGAAAACCAAGAAACAGCTGTCCAGAGATACACTATTGGAATTACTAGACGTGGACTTTAAAAATAACTGTTATCAATATGTTTAAGAAATTAAATTAAAAGCCGGGCGCGGTGGCTCAAGCCTGTAATCCCAGCACTT